TCTGATGTGAAAACTGCTTCAAATCAATTCGCCAACCAGCTCTGCAACCCAGAGCAACGTTTTGTTCTTTCTTTGCCATTTTTGGAAGAATTTCTTTGGATAATGCTGAGCTCGCATATCTTGATATTAATGCAATAACAGATTCTTTCGAGAGCAAGCATACTGAGAAGAAACATTAGAATCAAATCAATATATCTGATTAAAAAATCAGTTTAGGACTGCAGAATTACAGAAAATACAAAAGCGCGGGAATAAGGCTAATATTCCCATACTGCTTGGCTCTACATGAGCGATAGTCAGGGTGAAAATACGTTTCGAATTCTTCTACCAAATTTTGGATTCATTTTACTCCTATCATGCAAAGGAAGGCAACACGCGAAAGTCAGTGCTAATATATTCCAATCAGAATCAGCTGTATGAAGATAGGTTGGTAAACTTTACGTCATCATTGACGTCTCGTTTCAATACCGATGTTGCGGCTTTTGTCCCATTGACGATTCCAGTTCCAAACGTTATTCCAAGCGGTAAGTAGACTATTTGCGCATGCATTTGCGGTTTGCATAATCAAACAACCCCAAATGCACTACAAACCGCGCGGAACAGAACACTTAGAACTGGAATTGTCGACGGAGCGGAAGCCGCAACACCGATATTCAATCGGTGATTGCATTTACTTTCGCGTATTACCCACCCTTGCGTTGATTTATTGAGCATTGACTTTCGCGCATTAGCCTCCTTTACAAGAAAGGAGTAAAATATGTTTGGCACACCTATCTGACGGGTGACTGGACTGGCAAAGCATTATTTTATCTGTCGTATATCAATACTGAATTATTGTTTTACGTGAGCGAACCTGAACCTTCCATTTACTGAGGAGGGAAAACAGTGAGTATCAGACGTTTTTCATTACGAACCGACGGGGTATAAACTCTTGCGAGCAGCTACCCTGGCGTCTGCCATGTTTTTTGAAGCGTACGACCAGCATGAGTCTGGTCATGACGTTGACACAAACATCTTGATTTTCGAACAAATTCTGTCTACTCAAAGTACGGTCCTACTGGAAATAAGCATGGATGAACTACGGACAACAGCCCAACATAATCTCGACGATTAAGCAATTTTACCTCCCCATCTACCTGTTGAACAAATGGCACGGTAAAAATTACAAACGGACGAAAGACTTGAATGTCGGTTGGACAGAGGTGAATAGAAAGAAAAAATCGCGCTAGTTCGTTGGGATCTTGTTCACTTACACCCTTCTATAACGCACATCATTTGTGATTCTGCTCTTTATAATGAGGCTTGTGTTGCCATGTCGCAGTCGATTTCTGTTATATCACCGGTAAGTGATTTGCTGTAAATGCGACGTTCAGGATTATTTATGATCACAGAATGTAATGTGTTATTTCGTTTTCTTTCGTTCATTCATCCTCAATAATTACTTCTCCTTTCGGGTCGAGGAGGTAGGCGCGTCAAACAGTACTTCCAAAGTTCCCGATTCTGTGCAAGAGTCTGAGCTTCGGCAAAAAGCAACAGGAGTCTAGTCTAGACCCATTTATATTGGCATCAGGTCAATCTTGACCATCCCCTGGGCATTTTGCCGTTCGGCTGGACAAGAAATAGTTGCATTGCTTTATTGAGGCATTCGCAACACAAGCCCAAACCGTTGTAGTTGTGACTTTTCACGCAGAAGAAGCAGCGGCGGTACACCAAGATTCTTGAAGATGTTTGAATTTCGGGCCATGTAGAGATGCTCAAGCCAGCGACTCCTCTCAGAAAGCCCATTCCATGCGCTTGTACGCGGCGGCATCGAGGTTTTTCAGCCATAGTCAACGACTCGTGATAGTAGCTAAGCGTGGTGAAGAAATTCGACTTAAACGCTGAAAGCTTAGTCTTCAGACTCAGTTCTGGCGCAGTCACAATGGCTCGGACTAGTTAATGCAAAACGCCACTGTCTACCCCAATCCGCAGATCTATCTCTTTCTTAAATTATACATCGCCAGCAAACACGACCACGAGGTACTTGAACGTCACCACCTGTTCCACTGTTTCACCTTTTATCTTAAGAGAGCACTGAGTAGATCGAGAAAGTATTGGGCTTTTAGTTTTTTATACATTCACATGCCTGCCGGTCACGTTGCACTGTTTTATGAACCATTACAGAGAAAGCTGTAGATGAGTTGCAGAAGATGCTGATAAAAGACGATCGTCTGCAAACTGCAGCCGTATCGTCTCGTCATCTCCTACACCAATACTCTCCTCGCTTTGGCTGTCACTGACTACTCTATCAATGTGCAACATAAATATGAGAGAGGACAGAACACAGCCTGAACCAAGACCAGCGTAAACTCTGAAGCCCTTCAGTTTGACCTGTTTACTGCAATGCAGAACCTGCCACCGGTATATAGCAATTGAATGGCTAGTCGCAACTGGCCATCGATCTCACATTTTCGTAGGCATGTTTATAGACTGCTTCCGGGATCCGGTGATAGGCTTTCTCTAAATCAACAAGCGGCATATAAATAAGATCCACAAATTGCGCGATTTCT